GGGAGAAGATTTGGTTATAAACATTCCTACTTTGTTTTTCTGGAGTTTATGTGCCAGGGTGGTTACTTCACACACCATAACAGCACTGGCAGCAAGTCCAGTGGGCAGAAATGTGATGATGAGCTTTATTCTGAAGGTGGAAGAGTACCTGAATATTTTGGAAGTCATGGAGCACATAGATCTAGGAATGGCAGGACCACGAAGCTCTCCATTGCCAACTGCAGACAACTCTAATAAACTTGACTTGTGTTTTTTTAAAAAATATGTCTTTATTGATTTCAGAGAGAGGAAGGGAGAGGGAGAGAGATAGAAATATCAATAATGAGAGTCACTGATCGGCTGCCTCCTGCACGCCCCCCCCCCCACTGGGGATCAAGCCAGCAACCCAGGCATGCGCCTTGACTGGGAATCAAACTGTGATCTCCTGGATCCTAGGTCAATGCTCAACTGCTGAGCCACGCCCAGCCAGGTCAACTTGTGTTTTATCTTCACCTCCAGACCATTCCTTCTGCTGCTCAGGAGAGCACCCCACCACCCTCATCTCCTAACTATATCCTATAACCTTTGTGCTCTCACTACAGTTCTCCAGGTCAACCTGCATTGCAAAGTTTATGATCAAGAAACAAAAAATAAATAAAATGAAGAAAGTTTTGAGCCTGGACTATTGGAGAAGGGTGGTACCTTGAAGGGGAAAAGCAAAATGAATTTCATTTGAAGTTTAAGGAGAGGGATACCTATACACATGTGTGTGCAGACGGCAGAAAAATCAGTTCCTAGTACATGTGAAAACCTAAAAACCTAAACTTAAACCAATGTTTAAGTTGGGCTTAATGTTTTACTAAATAATATAGTATCCCCCCTATTGCTTGCCTGCTGCCAGGGAAGGTGGGTTAGCCAGGGAAAAAAGTCAGCTCTCAGCTTCCCATCCTACTGAAAGCATTTTCCAGAGGTTGGGCAAGGGCATTTTTTTAAAAAAATTGATTTCAAAGAGAGGGAGGGAGAGAGAGAAACATCGATGATGAGAGAGAATCATTGATTGGCTGCCTCCTGCACACCCCTTACTGGGGATCAAGTCTGCAACCCGGGCATGTGTCCTGACTGGAAACCAAACTGTGATCTCCTGGTTCGTGGGTCGATGCTCAACCAGAGCCACCCTGGCCAGTTGAGCAGGGGCATTTTTAAGTTTATGTCCTTAAATAATCTGTAGGTGTTCTCTCCCCGCACCCTCCCCCACTGGTTTATTAAAGAAAAATAAATCAATTACTAGCAGTTATTAGTTGATCACTCATCCATTGACAACTTGCATCATTTATTCAGTGCTATATTAAACAGCATATTGGAAGACAGATGAACAGTTCCAAGCCTTTTAACAAGTTAAATGAAAATTACAAAATGTTTGAGACCCTATTTTGGAATACAAAGGGTGTCTGACTTTCAATTTCCATTCTCTGTAGAACAAGAACAGGTCATTCCTTTATAGACATGCATAAAATACATCACATTTTCTGTTCTGCTGATGCTATAAATTCAATACCAATTCTCCAGCCACATCAGTTATGAGCATAAAGTATATCATGTAACCTCAGATCTCTAACAGTGGAAGGCTTAAACAAGAATGAAAGCTGCTAGAATAATGCTGTTTCCTTTGATGTGACAAGTGGGCATCCATCTGCCTTTCCCTCAGATGATTTCTTCAGCATGTTAGAGCAGTGAAGAATGGTTTTAGTCTCATAACGAAGTTAGAGTGAAGACACTGGCCACATAATACACATCCTCCATTAAAAAAAAATTCTGAATCTTGGGCAACTGTTCCCTTGTAACTACTTTCCAGTTTCTAAAAGCAGTTAATCTCCAAAGCTGGAAGAACTTAAGTCTCCTCAGATGAGCATGTGAGTGAATGGAACGGAGGTAAACAAAAAATAAATAAGATGAGGTCTGATAGGGGAGCAGCTGGACACAAAAATAATAAAAAAGGAACAGTAATTTAAAGTTTATTCCAGCTATAATGCAGGTTATTCTGACTCTAAGGTACCATCATATGGTATACCTCTGAGTCCATTCCCCAGATAGTTTGTTGTACTTATCTGTTTTATAGATCTGTGCAATCTCTTGCACTAGGGGGTCATCTGGGTTTGGATCACACAGCAGTGTACAAATGGATAAAAGAACTTTAGAAATAGTTAAAGCAGGAGACCGCTGTGATCTTAGAATATCAAGACAAATGCTGCCATTACTGTTAACACATTGTGTACTGCATAGAAATCTCTAAGACATATGCCAGGGACCACACGTTTTTGAGCAAACTGCACGTTACTTAAATCATCATAACTACAGATCATAATACACTTTAGGTGTTGTTTTTCAATAATTATAACATTTTTATTTACAAAAACAATCAAACAATTAAAGTTCCTAGTACTTTTTTAATGTATGGTACTGCGTAAAACATTTTCCTCTGTGAAGGGGGACCAGACAAAATTTACATAAGTATCTAGATTCGCTCCTTTTTCCATGGGCGGCACAAACTCTGCAGGCTCTCGTAGGAAACTTTCTTTCCACTCGCTGGAATACATGTAGGTTCATGCTGCTTCCTATCACCCGACAACCTTTTGGGTGGATCTTAACGAGGTGCTCTCCTTGCACCCCCAGGGGAAGGGCTGGACAGATTTGTCTCTGGTTCCGGAGAGCCTTCATTATTGTCATCCGTTATCCAGTCTCTCGCCACTGATAGCAGAAACTGTTTATACTTCATTTTTGCTTGTGGATTGAGGACGTCGTAACCTCTAAATGAATTGAAAAGTCCACAGTTTATAAAGTACAGCACTACTTTTTTTGTCCATTTCATAGTTTTCCTTAGAATGGAACAAGAAGAAAGGAATTGATCCACACGGTCAACGCCTTTCATATGGGCATTGTATTCCTTGATGCAGGTAGGTTTTATAATATTCTCTCCTGTTTTTCTATTTTTTTCCTGTTGTCGAGACAGAAGTGTCATGGATCGTTGATATCATTTGGATAACGCACTTGTCTTTCCATGCTAGGAGAAGAATATCACCTTTTCTGGAAAATATTATGTCACTTTTCTTCATTCTTGATGTTTTCATTTTCAAATTTGGTGGTAAACCTCTACTCTCCCTAATAGTCCCACAGACTCTAGTTTTGTTCTGTAGCAGCAATTCAGCAGTAGATGTAGCATTGTAATAATTATCCTGGTAAATATGGTGCCATATGCCAAGATAGGGTCCAAGGACTGAAAGAACAGTTTCTTGCAATTTCTTTCCTTCAGCAGTGTATATCTCCATATTGCAGATACAGCTGGTGTCACTCTCGCACACCATCCGAACAAGTAAACCATATTTTGTTATTTCCGCTGGGTTGTACGTGCAAAATTTTAAACGTCCTCTCCATGGAATCATTCCCTCGTCCAAAGACAACTGTTGCTTTGGTTTGTATATTGTTCGAAATTTATGCAGGAAATAATCCAGCCCAGGTTGGATCTTGAAAAGTCTCCCCAAACGACTGTCCATTTTGGTGTTATCATTGAAATGCCAGAATGTCCATATTTGCTCAAATCTATGGCGACTCATTGTCTGTGGAAATATAGGGGTACATATCAAACGATCTGTTGACCAATAGTCTTTCAAGCTACCTTTTATTGTTTGACCCATCAGAATAATTAGGCCAAGGAATTTCTTGATGTCCTTCTGTGTAACCGGAGACCACTTTAGCGTTCTAGATGGTGTTTTATGTTTCGTTGCAGTTTGATCGTGCTAGTTGGACAGCTCTTTGCACAACATCTCAAACAATTCATCACCAAAAAAGAGATTGGTCACAGAGGGTACAGAGTCACTCTGAGAAGGAAATGTAGTGACCCCAGCATGACCTTCAAACATTTGTAAGCATGGTGGTGTGTCAATTTCAGACCAACAATTATCAGTAGCTTCGTCAGTGTCGGAATCAATTGAAAGCACCGCCACCTTGCGCTTCCTTACAGGTCTAATAATTTCACTGTGAGTAGAATTGTCTCCAGAATCGTCAAAACAGTCATCCGCATCTTTGATCTCACTAGGAATATCTGATAAATTATCGTTAAATACTTCCAGAAGTGTATCAGTTTCGTTGGTTTCCTTCCTTTTTCTGAGAGGGCATTTCTAACAGCGCCAGGAACTTGAAGACGAAGACTATTTGAATGACCAAAATACAATGTAACTGCAATGCTTTATGGGTTCGTGCAATTATATAGTTTTTCGTAGGATGACCTGCATGGTTTCCACCAATGAGATCGCTTCATTAGATGTTGACAAGACAGTGTGTTGACATCTAAGGTCCATAACAGATGGTGAGTGAAAAATGAGAAAACTCGTGAGCGGTCCTTAACAGATGGCGTGCGAAACATGAGAAAACTCATGAGCAGTACGCAATGTGTTAAGATTTGGATGATAAATGAGATGGTTTGAAGGGGTCTGTAGGAAAATGAATTGACAGAAAGAATATACAACCTTGGTATAGACTGTCATTAGGTCTCATAATTGTGGCTTGCCAATGAAACGTATCATCCCCACTGGACTTGCAGAACATTGTGCTGGAGGGTAACAGGCCATCACTAAGCTCCTTATTAATCAGTTTCAGTGCCATAGTCTGTGCTTTGCATCTGGCTCCTCACTATCTCAGTGTGTGCTCAAAGGTCTGGCCAAAACTCTTGATTATCCCGGCAGCAGGGAAGGATTGTGTCTTCACCACACACTGGCTCTGCCAGACGTAGGCGTTTGGTATTAAGGCAGATCTCCCGATAACCTCGTGGCTGGCTCACAGGAGTTATCTGTAGTTGTTCTCTTACTACTACTAACTTGAAACTCTTACTTTCTCACTTCCTAGTTTTCCAATCTCAAGTGTCAAATCTTTTTTAGAATCAAACATGGCATAGCTTCTCCAATGATTCAGTGTTTCTGCCTGGTCAAAGGACATCTCTGGATAAAACTGGAGGTTGTGCTCTTATTAACTCTGTCGTGTTAACGTTCTCTGAGCTGGAGATGCAGAAATCCAGGAGCAGAAAAAGTGCACCACGGAGCTTCAAGTCTACCTCACCTGACCCACTTTGTGGGGTAGTCAGCAAGGGATTGTTTTAGGCATAGTTGAGTCTAGATTTGCCTGAGTATAGTGCTTTTTATCTGTGGGGGGATGAGTGGGAGAGGGAGATGAAAGGAGTATCAATACTTAGATCCAACATAAGGCCTCAATGGGTAGACTCTTTCTTGGATTCAAGTCTTGCTTCAACCATAAGTGTTATAAAACCTGGTCTCTTCCCTCCACACACTTCTGGGTAGGGCTTTTGTTAAGCTCTGCCACACTATATGTAAGTATTCTTAAAGTTCCATTGTTACAAGTGGCTTGGGAGTAGGGGGTTGCCCCAAGCTCCCTTAAAGTGCAATCTGGACATGTCCTTGGGAATAGAAAAGAGAAAGCAATGACTGGCAGGGCCAGCTGGTCAGTGTTAGTTGGGGGATGTTTCTACCCTGAACTTACTCCATTTCCTGAGGTGTTTTGGCATGGCTTCAATTGAGGGATTAAGTTGACAGAGTAGAGTGGGGCTGCAGGAGGAACAGAATAGAGGTAATTGTGTTAAAACTGAGCCTTTCCCCCCCATAGCTTTACTGAGATATAATTGACATATAACATTATATTAAGGTGTACAACATGATGATTTGATATACATACATTTTGCAAAATGATTACCATAATAAGGTTAGTTAACACATCCATCACCTCACATACTTACTTTTTTTTTTTGTGGTGAGAACTTTTAAGATCTACTCTCTTAGCAAGTTTCAACTATATAATACTGTATTGTTAACTATAGCTATCATGCTGTACATTAGATCACTAGAACTTATTCGTCCTTCATAACTGGAAGTTTGTACCCTTTGTCACCTTTATCCATTCCCCTCATCACCACCACACCCCCTCACCCCATCCTTGGCAACTGGTCTCCTCTGTTTCTGTGAGTTTGGTTTTTTTAGATTCCATATATGAGATCATGCAGTATTTGTCTTTCTCTGTCTGACTTATTTCACTTAGCATAATGCCCTGAAGGTTGACCTCTTATTTTATGTTCTGAAAGTGAGATGAGAGTATCAGTTCAGTATCTTGAACAGCACCCCACACAAATATGTAACAACAATCAAATGAATTCTTGGAGAACAAAAGCTTGGCAAGTCAGGTCTAGAATTTTATCAGTTCACTGCTCCATGGCTTCCTTAAGGTGCGGTATACCTTTAACTCCTGCCTTGAGACTCTAGCTGCCTTAACAGCAAAGGAGAAGACAAAGGCCCCAGAAATCTTCTACATTTTCACGCGTGAGTCTGTCCTACCTATTGTGCCAGGCTCACTCCTAAAAGGAAAACGGCACGGAAGAAAAGGCAGTCAGTCATGTCCAAAGAGCAACATGGTACAGCAGAAATATTGGGAGGCAGGCCTGATAGGAAAAAAATCCTAACTTTTCTATTTTTCTAGCTGTTATTACTTAGCTAGAGTCTACATTTTCTCATTTGTAAAGTGGAGATAACACCTCCTTTGCAGAGATTAAATGAGAAAATCTATGTAAAAGCATTTAGTAGCTGCTAACTAAATGCATGGTAAATGAAGTCCAATGTGCACCAATGCTCAGCTTTTAATTTTCATAGTTCGTAAGACATTTAAGTTGAAGATTTTTCATACGTTAATTTTAGCAAGTACCAGGATAATGGAAGGTAAGACATAGAAAGAATAGTGTAGTAATCAGTTATTTGCAATCATAAATTACTTAAACAATCTCTTTAGTATAGGAAATTTCACATATACAGAACCAGAGAATATAAAGAACCCCCAAGTATCCGTCTTCCACTTTCTACAATTACCATCCCGACTACTCGTTTCCTTGATACTGCCAATTCACACCATCACAACTCCAGATTATTCTGAAACAAATCCTAGATATCATATAATTTCCTCTTAAATATTTCAATGTCTCTCTAAAAGATTGTTTAAAAAACATACTATAATCATAACAAATCATACTGCAACAAAAGTATGATTTCTTCATATCATTAAATAACCAATCATCAGTGTGAACACTAACTTACAGAAAACTAAGTAAATGAGTTCTCACCTGTATTTATATACCACTTATTTCAAGTCAAGAGACAAAATTCCAAGCCATTCCTGAGATGCAAATTAAAATGCTAAAATTGAAGGATTTCCCAGTAGTCACCTGTCATACCTAAAGAGATTGCTGTTTCTAAGTAGTGCAGGAACTACACAGACAGTATGTTGGTCGCAGTTAATCTGAAGAAAGACAGGACATTATTCATAGTTATGACCATTTTTTATTTGGATAGAACTTTATGAATCTGTGGAAAACTAGAGATACATTGTCTTAGTCAACTCAGGCTGCCCTAACAAACTACCATAGAGTGGGTGGTTCGAACAACAGATATTATTCCTCACAGTTTTGGAACCTGGGAAGTACCAGATCAAAGTGCTGGCTGATTCGGTTCCTGGTGAGAACTCTCTTCCTGGCTTGCAGAGGGCCTCCTCACTGTGTGCGTACATGGCTTTTCCTCTGTGGTTGAGCTGAGATCTTTCTCTCTTCCTCTTCTTATAAAGCCACTTCTAATCCCATCATGAGGCCCCCACCCTCATGACCTAATTTAACCCTATTTACCTCCCCAAAGCTCCATCTCCAAATACCATCACATTAGAGGCTTTAGGGGGACACATTCAGTTCATAACAAACTTACAAATTTATAAAATGATCAAAAAGTATGAAAAGCCAGTAAGCTAGCGTGTCACAACTAATTCTTTACCTCTCTCTAAGTTACTGTGGCTCCAAGTATCTGAGATCACCATTCCTGGAAATCTTTCTTCATACCTTAGTAACTCCAGTGCAGGTAGAACTCATGACCTAATATCCCTTCTTCTTCTTTCCCTGTGCCACCTCAACACCGGAGCAAAATAGTATAAAAATAATTGCCAGCTCCTATCATATTAGAGGAATTTTTCATGAAATGAATTAATTTCCTCCCTCTTATCAGGCTGAATCTCTACAATTTAAACAAAGGCTGAAGGATCTTTTTAGATCCTGCTAAGCTTGCAAATTTGCCAAAAAAATGTAGGTGGAGCTGTCTGTAGTCATTCTTGGTCCCTTTCCAGGTTTGCTGGCTGCTTCTACTGCATAAGCAACCATGTTTTACTAGTTGTGGGTATGTAGCTGCAGGAGCTGAAGCAAAGAATTTCTGTATCCTGAACAATCCTATTAACAGAATTGAATTTCTCCCAGTTTAACCAAATGATTTTGTTATTGGTTCTGAAAATATTAGGCTGGACTTGAAATAATCTGCCCTTCAAAAGCTGGCAGAGAAAAACCCAAAACACTTTAGTCTTTCAGCAATACTATGGAGAAACATTTGGTACATGGAGGGCAATATGGCAGTACTTATCAATATTAAAAAAATATATATCCCTTTTGCAGAGCAAATCCACTCTGGGAATTGAGATGAGACATACTTAAAAGAAGATATGTGTACAAAGATATTCATCTAAGCACAAATTAGAATATAAAAGATTAGAAACTCTATGTCCCTCAGTTGGATAATGATTGGTTAAATCATCTGCAGGAGTAAGAAAAAAATGCCTTTTATGCATTTAATATGGAGAAGCCCAAGATGTCCTAAGTGCAAAGTGCAGAAGAGCGTATCTGGTATCCTTCCTGTTAAACAAAAATGGAGAAAAATAAGAATATTTATTTTTACTTACATGTACAGACAAGAAAAAAATGGAAAGAATACACAAGAAAATAAGAGTAGAGGTTACCTTGGAGGTGGGAACTGTATGGATGGAAGACAGTTGATGATGTTTAAAAAAGTGTTTTGAGCCCTGGCAGGATAAGCTCAGTTGGTTGGAGTGTCGCCTTGTACACCAAAAGGTTGCAGATTTGATTCCTAGTCAGGGTGTATACAGGAGGCAACTGATTGATGTTTCTCTCTCACATCAATGTTTCTCTCTCTCAAAAAAAAAAAACAACTATAGAAACATATCTTTGGGTGAGGATTAAAAAAAAAAGTTTTTTTTTTGCACCAGTGGATAGATTCAAATAATTTTTAAAAATCTTGCTGGGAGCCATAACCAACCAACAATTATTAAGTGCTCACTACCTTAAAATAGATTAAGAAAATAAGGAGGTCCAAATGTAACCTTAACATGGGGTGTAAAATATAAGCTTGAGTAAAGTGGCCGTGCCTAAACAATTCCTGGAAATCAAAATTCTCAATGTGTCTGGGGAATTCTGAAATCAGTAACTTTGCCAAAGAATTTCACTTGCTTACTGGAGGTCTTCTCTAGAACTCAGAAAGAGGGGGTAGAAAAGATAGATGCCATCATGCTCCTACAATCAATGTAAAATTCTTTAGTAGTATTTCTGCCAAAAACACACACATTATTCATGTGTAAATATAAAAACATGCAGGAAGAAACTAGTAATTGCATTGTGGTGCAATTTTTCTTTAATGCTAAAATGCTATTCTAATAGTAAACAAACAATTGTCTAGTAGGGAAAAATCTTCCTCATTGATGACAGTGGATTACTCTAAATTTTGAGGCTGCTTTCTAAAGGGCATGTGTGTTCATCACAAGTAAAAATCACCTTTCATGGAGATTCCAAGAAAGTGGTAGATTAAGTGGAAGCTACACTGACATTCTCCCAGGACCAAACTGGAATTGTAACTAAAATATAGAAAAACCATCCTGAATAATCAACTGAAGATTAGCTGGAAAGCACCTCCATAACCAAAGACCAAAAGTGGAGAATGCATAGAGACTGGTAGGAAGTGCGGAGGTGTGAGAGGGCTGGACCACAGGCAGCCTCTGAAGGTCTGGAGGGATATCTCTGCTGTGGGGGGTTGCCCACTGAGGAGTCTGGGGCCTAAACCCCAAGCTGGGCTTCCCAGCCCAGAGCACCAGAACTGAGAAAGGTGCCCACATAACATCTGGCTGTGAAAAGCAGTGGGGTTTCTGTCTGCCAGGGAGAGGCAGCTGGAAATGCAGGCACCCTCTTAAAGGGCCAACACACAAAATTTCGGATGCAGCCACACACCTTGGGCTCTGGCAGAGGGAGGGCAGAGTGGACTAGAGCTGTGTGAGAACCAAGGTTTGAGGGCTCTGAGGATAGAGCTTGGATTTCTGTGCTGAGTAATTCCCCCATATGGAAGAGAGAATCTTTCTCAGGCAGAACTTTACCAGCCAGGCAGCTTTGCCTCAATGGGGGTGGGAGGTGGGGAGCGATTGTCGCACCCTGTTGAAAAATCTCTCGCCCCACCCAGTGGAGTTTACTCGTTGCTGTGGTCTACAGCCTGAGACTCCTTAAGAAACGGAGAATAACAATTAGCCTGCAGGCAAAGATAGATCTCTGGATGCTTTGTCTTTGCCTGTTCTGCTTCTGGAACAGGAGCTACGAAAAGCAGACTTGGTGTGCACTTTGGTCCTTTCCAAACACACCCAGACCCAGCAGAGGGAGCCACAAGCTGTGGACTGCTCAAAGCTCCAAACAGCGTACTCA